GTGGGGGAAGCACAGCATTCTATTGGCTGAGGAAAAACCATTACCACAACAATACGGTATGGCCTCGATGGTCTAATGGATAACGTGCCGGGCTGACAATGTAAAGGTACCAGGTTCGAATCCTCTCGGTAGCACTAACTTTTTGTCTAAGATTTTTGCATGATCAGCAAGTTTGGTTAGTTTGATTAGGTTATGACAGTTTAATTTGTTAATTAAAACATTATACAATTCAATTTGAGCTATTATAGTTTTAGTTTAGAACTATTTTTTTTCTATTAGTAAACCTTCGTTCGATTTTTTTATTATCAGCAAGTTTGGTTGGTTTTGTTAGGTTATGACAGTTTAATTTTATAGTTAATAAATTATAAAATTGAATTTAAGGCATTTATAATTTTATTTTATGAACAGAACTATTTTTTCGATTAGTAAACCTTCATTCGCTTTTTATTTTAAATCTTTTTTATATAATCTGCAAGTTTGGTTGGTTAGGTTAGTTTATGACAGTTTAATTTTATAAATATTCATTTTTTAACTTATTGAAAAACTGCAGCATAGGTTTATGCATGTAAAACAACGCGGGCTTGTTTGGACGCCGTCTAGAGGGGAGGTGGAGGGAGAATCATTTCCCCCACTCCGCAGCGCCAGGGGACAACATCGTGATGAGTTAGCGAAGGTTTAGACTCCAGTTTGTGAAGTGTGAAGAACTTTTATTTTGACAGCAGACAGCTAAGGACTCTATCACGCACAGGTCATTGTGACCCATGTGATATTTTTATTTTTTTGTATTTATTGCTGCAACAGTGTGTAATAAATAAAGAATTTTCTCTCTCTCTCTCTTTTCTCTCTCTCCAGTATCAAGTAAGGTCGGATTTTTTTTTTGACAAACGTGTACGGCTAGACCCAAAATACATTTTAAAATTAAAAACAAATACATTAATCTTGATTTAAACCAAACGATAAGGAATTAACTCAGGACCAACAATTAAGCTTGAAAAATACACCACAGCTCATTCTCTAGCAGGCCCAATTTTGAAGACTCCCGGGAAAACACACTGATAGGTTATCATAGAGCATAATGCTCTGTGTAGGTTATGAAAGAATGATAGCTGACTGAAAAAATACCCCCGCCGCAGCAAACCTGCCGACTAAGCGAATTTCCATTTGTCTAAATTGATTTTCAAATCTAAAAATAACATTAGGTTTAACGAGTACCTAGGTTTGCTGCTACAAGGAAACTAATAAAGTCTGTTTTTTAGGAAAATATTAATAGCTTAGTATAAAATAAATATATTTTTAACGTTTGGTCAAAATATGTCAATAAACAAGCAAACTACAACATTTTACAATATTCTCCAAAAGAATAACATAGGAATTCTAAATTTACAATTTTTTGAATTTTCTTTGTACAAAAACAAATTTCTTTGGAAATTTGGAGGAGAATTTTCTTTGAATTAACCGTACAAAAACACTTTGATATACTAAATTATTTGTTTTTTAAGCTCGTTTAAAAGGTCCAGAGAGAAATTGAGAAATTTTGTATTTTGAGGGTCAAAAATGAGAAAAACCATTATTTACCCCATAAAACCCCGTTCCCATGGTCCGATCATGCTGGTTCGCGAAATCATTCAAGTTTATCCTGCCTTACACCTTTAAACCAAATTTCATCAAAATCGGACAAAAATTACTCAAGTTATCGCGTTCACGGACGTATATATATATACATAAATAAAAGTTTGAACGAATGGTGTTTTTGGCCTCTGGGGATATCAAAATTAGGGATGGTCAAGTCTCGAAATTTCGGGAAATTTTCGGGAAATTTTCAATCTCGTTACACGAGACGAGATTACTTTTTGGCCGAGATTTTTTTTGAGACGAGAATAAAAAAAAAAAAAAAAAAAAAAAATTAAAAACGCCTGCAGAAAGTCAATGCAATACCCGCAATACAGGACCGTGTTGTAGTTGCGTTTCCTTTTCGAAGGCGTTCTTATTTAATTAATTCTTTTAATGTAAATATTACTTTAATTCTTTTAATGTAAATATTACTTTCATTATTTTAATAATATTACTTTAATAACATTTGAGAAGTTTTGTTAAGTGTAAGCAGTGTGAGGAATGTTTTATTACTATAAAAAAAGTCAAAACAAGTAACTATTTTATAAAAATTAATATTGCTTTTATTTTATGATTTATTTTATTTTAGGATAAGTTGAACTCTATCCTAACTGATATCACCATGTTTCCTAATCGTAGGCATTTTTAATAAGTTAGGCGTGATTAATAAAAAAATGTTATGCTGATGTTATTTAATGAAAGATTGTAAATATTCTTGCCTATTATCATTATTTTAGTATTTAAACAGTCATCTAACAATGTTACAAAATCAGGTAAAAATTTCGAACGTGCATTTCCCGTTGTGTATGAGAAGAGAAATCTCGTCTCGATCTCGTCTCGAAATTTTATGAGAAATAATAAATCTCGTCTCGTCTCGTCTCGAACTAAAAATCCAATCTCGTCCATCCCTAATCAAAATGAAAAAGAAAATCGGTCCCGGGCCTAGGTCTTACCGTGCCACATACGGTATAGCTATTTCCCTATAGGGAAATTCGCTAATAAGCATTGTACTAAATATTTAAACAAATAATCCCAGGAGTTTAAAGTATGAAAAACTCATCATAACATTGATCTACCCTATTCATTTCTTTAACCATACTCCCAAGGGAATCAGCATTACGTATTACTTATTAGTTGCCTATTAATGCTATAATAATCTATAGCATTACATTATTGATGTAGATTAAATAGAAAATAAATCAGTTATTTACTGATCAGTAAATAAATTCTTTAAGACAGCTACACTAAATAAATCAATGTTTAGGTTAATTAATTTAACATGTTTCACTCCATCACCACCCGAATTGATCTTTTAAATAAAAATAATAGTTATTTGTGCAACTAGTGAGAAAAGTGAGCAATTGACTCACTCGAGAGAAATCCTTACTCACGAGCCGTAGGCGAGTGAGGAATGGTTTCTCGAGTGAGGCAATTGTACTTTGAACACGAGTTGCACATTATACTTTTCCTACAGTTACCATAAAACAAATAAATTTGTGAAGAAACATAACCTATTTTTACACAGAAGTGAACTTTTAATTTAACATTTAATGTGAAGGGAAGGTGAAGTGACAAATACAACAGTAGAACAGTACAACAGCTGACCAGCTGATTTACAGCCAGTGCTGCCAACGTATTTCGTGCGCATACGACGTTGCCTGCATGTTACGCGCTCACTATTTCGTGCCTTCACGTTGCAAATCTGGAGTGAGACAAAGTAATTAGAGTGAGACAATGTTAACATTGTCTCACTGATGAGCGAATTGGCCACTTTGCTTTCTCAAATCAGTGAGAGCACATGTACATTGTTAGGTAACTGTAGGAAAAAGTTTTAATCAGCTTTAATCAGGCTTTTGTAAGGAAATGATCCTAAAAGCATTCAATGATGCAATTAGTAGTCCGAAGCCTGATTGCGCCTGTAACTTTGAAATAAGAGTTGTCTATGGCAAAGTGAATGCATGTTTCAATATTAAGGACTAGCTGTACCCACGGGCTTTGCCCCGTTTAACTTCATAAGTATTTGCATGGCTCAATCACGTCCCGGTTGAAGTTCGTTCGCTACACTCACTCACCTTTAGGTTGCAAATTAGCTGTTGTCATAAATTTTAAAAAGTTATCCCTTTTATTGTTTATAATACTTTGATAAAGGTTTTTATGTTTTAATATATATTTAACATAGGAGAATTTAAACGTTGTTAAGTGCACAGGTGTGCTGCGATTGGGGTTTAATACATTTGGACTTATTCAAAAGTAAAATAGTTTTCTGTGCTGCACTCTGTAGAAACACTGTGGCACTATTTCAAATCATGACTAATGCTAAATACAGAATGTTGTAATTATTCAAACCTACAAAACAGTTGGTGAAAGTAAACATCTGCTTTTAAATTATATTTATTTGTAAACATTGTAAAAGGGTGTCCCAATAAGAACGCCGGATTTGAAATGTTAACAAACCATATATATTCATGCTAAATTTACAATATGAAACATGAATCTTAAAGCATAGTATCTCCGATTAGTAATTGAGTATTATGTCTTGTAAGTGTCAACCTGCCAAATACTGACAGGCCCGACATCTCTTGACAAAGTTTTCCGTCATTTTTTCTTACACTTCCTGTTGAATTCCATTAATGGCACGAATCATTTCCTCCTTCAAGTCTTGGATTGGTTGAGGATTATTGGCGAAAACAAACGACTTTAAATATCCCCGGAATAGAACTGAGCCAATTTATTCGAACTTAGAAATCAATCTTCGGACAGATGGATCATTTGGTGCATTGTCCCGGCCGTAAATAGTGCGCAGCTTCCGTGCTTGTAGTGCACTTTAACTATGACCACGCGTTGTTCCGTCGTGTAGCGATTCATGACTACAAATGGGACCTAATACTGATAACATTGCTGATAATTTGGGAATTTATATTGAAATACAGATAAGGATAAGACGCTCCTCAAATCCGGCGTTCTTACTGGGACACCCTTTAGATAAAAAAGTCTTACATTGGCCCACTTCTTAAAACCCTCTTGGGCAGAGCCCTTTTGACAGATCTGCACCAAACTTCACTCGAACCATCCTTGAAAGATGCTTAGTGTCTGAAAGTTTCATTACAATCTATCGAGCGGTTTCGGAGTCCATAACAAATATACATATATATATATACATACACACATAAATAGGTTCCTCTTTTATAGATATAGATATCATCAGGATAATGTGACATAGGACTTAGGCAAAAGCTTATGTTATAACATGTGTTTAACATGTCTACTTTTAGCTCTCACATAAACAATAACTTAACCATACTCTTTTAAAAGAGTTGAAGTATTCTACATTAAAACTTACTTGAGTTTTATAAGAATTTATTTTGATCCAATTTTAAAACTTAGTTAGCATGACAAAAACAGTTTTGAACTCTCCCCCAGTCAATTTAGTGGAGGCAAAGTTAGTTCAGGTGGGAAACTATAAGTTTACTGGGAAGGTTCTTGGTAAGGGATCGTTTGCAGTTGTCAGAGAAGCTGTCCATGTGCCAATGAATGTTTACGTATCTGTAAAAGTTATGGACCTGACAAAATGCAACACCTATATGCTTAAAAACCATCTCAGGGAAGCTAATATTCTTCAAAGTTTAAACCATCCTTTTGTACTGACGCTTTTTGAGACAATGGCATACCATAATATATACTATGTGGTTACTGAGATAATCCAGGGAGGAAATCTTTGTGACTTTGTTCAACAAAAGAAAGGGAAAATAGATGAAACTACCACAAGAAGATTCAGCCGGCAGATTGCATCAGCTTTGCAATACTTACATACGAGAGGTATTGTCCATAGAGACTTGAAGTTGGAGAACGTCATGTTGGATGCTGGGAAGAGAAATGTTAAGCTTGTAGATTTTGGTTTAACCAACACTTGGTCTCTGGACTCTCCACTCAAGACACTCTGCGGTTCGCCGGAGTATTGCGCTCCAGAACTATTTTTACGAGGCACCAAGTACGGCCCAGAGGTGGACATGTGGGCATTCGGAGTAATTATGTTTGCGTTGGCTGCTGGAAAGCTACCATTTCCCTGTCTTTCTAATGTATTGAAAACACCAGAAAAGAGAGGACAGTTTATACAAATAATTTACAAAGGGTTATCTGAAGCTAACATTAAATTGATAAAACATTATTCTCTCGATTTTATTCCTTTGATCAAAGGGCTTATGAATCCTCGTTGGGAAGAACGACTGACGATAAACAGTATCTTCCGCGATCCTTGGATAACCAACAAGGGTCATTGGGTGGACGTACCGCACGAATTACTAGATACTAATGATGAGGAGAACATTATCCGACAGTTGAGCTTCAAGTTGAAAACATCACCGGAAAGGGTTAAAGCAGAATTGAAATTACAGCCAACAGGTGAAACAGCAGGTTATTTCAATATCATGAAACTCAAAGAAATGCTGAAAAGACATAAGCCAATGTTTACTGTTAAGTTTGATATTTCTCAAAGCAATTCGTTCATTGAAAGTTCTTTTCCAAAGAAACATTGCTCTAAGCAAACCCTAGTTGGTCCAAAAGTCTCACTGTTAGGAAATGCAATGAAACTTAATGAAGTTATACTTAAAGACAAATACTTGCAAAGAAGAGTATTGACACCTTCATCAACAACAACAAATGAATCCAGCAAAGGGAGAGCTGACGGTTTAGGGAGAGAAGCAAAAGTTGTCCTGCCAAAAATTAAATCTTTAAATTCTAATTGTTCGACCCCATTATCTACTCTTAGCAGTGAAAAAAGGACAAGAAATAAATTGGTTAAAGTAAACACTGCATTGAGGAAAAGTTTAACGATAGGAAATGTAATACTACCTTCCAAATTAGATGTAACACCTAGCGCAAAGTCTCTTTTTAAGCAAAAACAAACGTGTCAAAAAGTTTAGTTTCAAATTAATTGAGATTGTAAACGTAAACCCTTGTATGGAAATAGCCTAAGCCGGTGCAGCTTAATGACAGTGTTCTGTCGTGGTTACAAAATGAAAGGATAATAAACTACCATTGAAATATTCATAGGAAAGAAAAATAATCATACTTTATTGTAAAAGCTTACACCAATTGCTTCACTTATGTAAGCATAGAGTAAACTATCACAAAGGTGCTGTAATCGTTTTGAGAGCAGAGCGCTTTAAGTGCAATTGAGGTCAATAGAAAATAAACCACCTTTACCAACTCTTCTGGTGTATTTATTAAAACTGTAGTTCAGAAAAATTATGTTTTAAAATTTGACAGATTGACAGATTAAGGCTCGTCACACACTGCCTCCGGTCCGGTTTATTCTGATCCGGTGTTTTTCGCCGGATCCGGCAAATTTCCACACACTGCATCAGGCGTTCCAGTTCCGGCGACCAGTCTATGCGAGGACAGCGGATACTGTCAGTTGAAGAAGTGTTCAATCAACAACTGTTTGCAAAAGTTATAACAAAATTTAGGCTAATTTTAACAATGAGTGACAGTGACAGCGACGAAGAGATCATAGTAGGGTTAGTAGTATTAAATTGATCACTTATTTCTTCCCAAATATTTTCCTCAATAACTAAGTTGTAGTAGCCCTTGTGGCCCAGGTCGTATAGAACAGGGTACTCCTGCACTTGCACAATCAATTTCTCTTCTAATGACATTTTGTAACAAAACTTACAGCGTATAAACAATCACCAAAAAACCACGTCTGCTGCTACGTGGTGATTAGGAGTTGAGCGCATGCGCGAGCTCTCCGGTGCCGGAAGCTTGCCTGAAGCCTATCGCTTCTCGACTGAAATAATTTTAACGGAGAGCACCTGACGCACCGGACCTGATGCAGTGTGGGCACTTCCATTTGAATTAATGGTTTTAGAATTTACCTGATCCGGCATGCCTGATCCGATTTCACCGGACTGGACGCAGTGTGTGACGAGCCTAACAATGCAAACTGGTACCATTACATTGCTAACTTAATAGACAGGTTTAATTTATACTAAACAATTGATAATTGGGATCTGAGAGTTTAATCAAATAATTGGACTGTTGTAGTAAAACAAATTAATAACACTTTACAAAATTGACCAGTTTGGGATAAAACTGGCCAGTAAAACAAGTATATGAGATAAAATATAATTAAATTTAACATAAGGTTTTCAAATTTACAGTCAGAACAAAAAATGAAGATAAGGCTAGCAGTGTCTCCTATGATGCATGAAATATAGCCTAGCCTTCAAAATTAGAATATTGCACAAAGCAATCTCCAGATCTAATAATATAAATATATTATTTTTGTGTTGTCCTAGGACACTAGGTACGAGCCTGGGGTTGTTTTTCCCATTACTTCAGGCTAGTAGGGGTTACAGCATTATCACTTTGGTAAAATCCATTGGTGGTTTTGTGGGATTTAAACCCGGGACCTCAGGGACCGAAGTCCCGCGCTCTAACCACTAGACTAGCTTGTTCCCCAGATCTATTATTTGATATATCTGTAATGTATAGCAATATGTTCAGTGTAAACATTTGGAAATGATATAATCGATAAATATATAGTAGGGTAGCCTTAAGCCATAGGACTGATCACAGTAAAAATTTGCAAAAATGGGTACTTTCCTGTTAAAGGGAACATTCATTATTATCGATGATTTTTTTCGATATATCGATATTTTTGTTTCCGATCAGATCTATTACAAATTGACAACAACAACTAACTGATCTTGTTAGGCTAAAATAGTCTATATGGATTAAGAAATGAAACTGTTCTAAGCTAACCTAACATAACCAACCAAACTTGCTGTACCATTTAAAACTTCCGTTTGGGTTTGATAATAGAAAAGGCAAGTTAAACACGGAATTTTTAAATGTTACAGCAAGTTTGGTTAGTTATGTTAGGTTATTTTTTTTAGAACAGTTTATACTGAACAATATTTATCGTAGTTGTCAGCTGATAATATGTTTCAATTTGTTAATATCGATACATCGAAAAAAATTATCGATAATAATGAATGTTCCCTTTAACAGGAAAGTACCCAAAAATGTCTTTTGTTTTGTTAAAAAAAAACAACTGTAATTTCATCCAAAAGTTTCAAAAATCATATTTACGTTATTGGATTTGCACTAAAATATTTCCTTACCAGATGTATGGCGGTGAATCTTGAGGTACCCAAGTAAACAACACAAGCACAATGTACTTTTTGTATTTGTTTATTAAATATTAAAAGTAAACAGTTATGTACATCAACTTTTCATGTATTCTCCTAAATGTACAATATATAATATGAAATAAACATTTGTTAACCCTAGCAGTGGCCAATGTTAGAAGTGGGGAATGGCCAACCCATTTTGGCGATTTTGCAGACCTTTTTTTGAAAATTCGTAAAAATTCAACCATACAAGTAAACCTAGCCAACCTCATATTCATTTTGTTCGCAGGGTGTCCACATTCTGGAAAGTCAGGGATAGTCATGGAAAGTCATGGAAAAAAAATTATGGTCATTGAAAGTCATGGAAATAGGCAAAAAGTCATGGAAAGTCATGGAAATCCCCAATGATGGATGGATTTCAGGGGACCTTTCAATGCTCTAGTCGGCCGTAACCGTGACAATTGTAGCATTTTTCCGAATTTTTCACAAATGTACGACAATTTCAATTTATACAGTTGTCTTAGTTATGGGTTTTGAGTTTGTATTAGTCCATTGTTGTACCTATTGTACTCCATTGTTATCTGTTAATACATATTTCAATATTTTCTGTGAAATAACTTGTCTAGGCAGTATTATTCGTGTGTGTACGGTATATTATAATTTTTGAGTTAAGTTCGTGAGTCATGGAAATCAATGGTTAATGGTCATGGAAAGTCATGGAAAGTCAGGGAAATTGATGACAAAATTTCTGTGGACACCCTGGTTCGGAAAGAACAGGAGAATCTAGAAATAGTAATATCATAATGATTTAGACAGTGTATTTTATCGATAAAGTGAAAAAAATAAAAAAATTTGAATTTTTTTTTTGAAATTTCAAAAGCGGCCTTGGTATTTTTTTTCTACGGATTTCTTTATGGGAAATTCATTATATACATTTTGTAGAAAATCTAATTCCCTACATAGAAATATATAACATGTTAGGAAAATATTTTTTTTTTATAAGTTTTTGGGGCGAAATATAATGACAAACGGAGAACCGAAAAAATTGAGAACCGTACAGTGTTAGTTTATGTTGTAAAAAGTTCTATAATACATGTGTATACTAATAATGATATATACATGTTTGTAAAGCTAATGAAGTAAGGAATCAAAAAAAGTCATAAAGTTTATGGTAAAAATAATTTTTTACCTATAAACATACGTATATAAAATAATGTTTATATATTTTAGCGATTTCTCGAAAAACAAAATTCACAGTACTTAGTATACAACTTTTGTACCAAATTTTTTTACTTCAAACCAACATAATAATCTTGTAGTGTATTCAATTACCAACATAAAAATGTATAACATGTTAGAAATATTTTTTTGTAGGTACGTAATAGGGACATAATAATACAATAACCGCAAAACCGCAAATAAGTGTAAACTATAGCCTACAGTGTTTGCTTGGTTGTGAAACATTATGTAGGCTGATGATATGTAGCCTACATATTTGTAAAGCCAATGAAGTAAGGAATCCAAAAAAGTCATAAGTATGATGGTAAAAAGTTATTTTCACCTATGATTATGTAGGCCTATCAATTTGAGAACGTTTTGAATTTTTTGCGCATTTCGAGAAAATGGAGTGTACAGTATTTAGTAGCCTATATAATTTTTTACCAAATTTTTTACACCCAAACCAATATAAACATGTTGTAGTGTATTCATTTACCTTTACAAAAATGTATAACACCTTGGGTAAATCATTATAACCCCTCTGAATGTCATATTTATGCATGAAGATAACTGTTATACACACACACAACACTTCACTTACACTAACACTACGAACTAATAACATATTTAGTAATAAATCGCGGATAAAACTATTACGGCAACAACACAAACAAACAATGGCAATACAAGACAGCTGACAGACTGTGGCAGTAATGACTCACTTCCGTCGTCTACATCACTGTCTACATGCGAGCATACAGAAATAACCCTGAGTGCAGGGCTGCCACTCTCTGAATCTAAATTTCTTCCTCTTCAAAATGATATACTATATGACTAGTAATAATAACTTTCACTGTATATAATTCGTATTTTCCATACTGTCACCAGACGACTGTTGGCCATTTGTTAGAAATTTCGAAAACAGCTGTTTTCATAAAATCGTACCGATTGTGCAATCAATATTTAGTTATAAATATCACTACCACAATGAAGATAAAATCAATGGCTATCCAGTGGTATCACCCGCAACATCCCAAGACGAAAATTACCCGAGCAGGGTAATGCCAAACAAGACGTGTTTTGCCAGTTCCCAAGTGTCGGCTGCAAAAGTCTTACCGCGCCAAAATTTCATTTGATTTCTAATCGTCGTGACATTGTTATATACCTGCTACAGGGTTTGTTTATGTAATCAAATGAAAGTTCAGAATGTGATCTTTCGAATGGTATATATATTATTCTAATCTGAGTTGATTGTACGTGTTTTTTTTACCGTTAAAAAAATTTCGGCCCATACCGTAACCAGACGACTTTGGCCATTCTAAGCATCAACGTCATACCGTAACCAGACGACGGTTGGCCACTGCTAGGGTTAATATTTACAACATCGTACACAAAGTGATTGATTTTACTGCAATGTATATTCAGATTTTAAATTTTTTTTGTTTTTTAAGGAAAAGTTGTATTTTTTCATCAGGGAATTTTTTTAATGTTGAACTTTTGACAATAATAACCTGAGGGAAATATATAAAAGGCAATAAACACCTAAGTTAGAAATTAACGTTAAAAACAAGACAATATATTGTTCTATTGTTGGATTCAAATATAAAACTCAAATTGCATTTATCATAATTTTAACTTTCAATTTGAAGTGATAGTAAGTTAGTCTAACTTAGTTTGTCCATCATTATCTGAGACTGAGCTATCACTGTTAACGTAGTTGACAAGTATTGAACAGTTAGTTTTCTTCTTAGTATACAATTTGTGATCACCAGGAGTTAAAGTTTTTGAACTGATAACCAACCTCTTTCTTCTTCTTAGCCGGGGGTTCTGAAGGTGATAAGATTTTCTCTTTGCTGTAAAATAACAACTTTACATTAACAGCATTCATAAATAATTTGTTGAAAGGCACAATTTCATCGAGCCTTAGAAATTCTTAGATTTAATCTTCTTATTATCTCGTCTTATTTTTATAACGTTTTCCCTCGTCTCATCAACCTTAAAAAAAATCTTGGTGGACATAAATAGGGCAGTAATAGTAGGTGAAAATTAGCAAAATGTCTGTTTTGAGGTGAAACTTGCACACTGAACCCAACCAAATTGTCCACCATTTATTTTAGGTGGTTTTCTCCCCACCCAATATGTGTTGCACACTAGACCTAAACGAGACACAGTAAACTATGTTTAGTACCAATCAACCGCCGTGCAACCTGACATACGACACTAACAATACTACCAAATCCAAAGCCAAAACATAAAGATTCTATGATTGACTTCCAGATCACAAATCGAACATGTTTAGGAATAACAATCCACTGACAATACATAAAGGTTGAGCTATGAACTACTCCGAAAGAACCTTGACCATTTAGTGATTTAAACATTTCAAGGAAAAAATTAAAATTATAATAATAGATAAAAAATCGTAACAGTCACTAACAGTATTTTGCAAACTTAACAGTGTACAGTAATAATTAAATCATGTTTTTATTCTATTTAGTTTTTTTGTGAGAAATGATTTGTTCTATTGTATATTGAGTGGGCTAAAATATAAAGAATTTTGTAGCCTATGATTTTAAAGTGAATTTCACCGACTGAAGTATTTATATTTTCAAATCAAATACTCTTTTTGAGAGTGTCAGTGTAGGCTATAGTTGCAAGTAAATACCTATAAGACGGATAATGTTAGAAATAACAACAAAATACATTAATTATTAATTGAAAAACTATGTTTACAATTGTAAACACTCTGAATTACGAACTCTGTCAACTCACCTGTTTAATGTTTCTGGGCGAATATACTTCCCCACACCTCCGTGGAAGGCTTTCAAAGGTTGATTGGGAACAACTCGAGGTTTCGACGTCTGCTCTGCAGCTGCTTCTTCTGCTCTCTTTTTCAGTTCCTCAGATCTTTCTGCCGCAAGCTAAAACATCATAGACAAATTTGTTATTGTGCTATTAAGGAACTAAAAATGATGACCAGGAATTTCTATTCTGTTTGAGTCAATTATACCATATTTTTATAAATTCACTTAGTTTACTGTGTATGTATATAGTTCAAGTTGTGAGTTTGAAAACAATGAATTAGTCTACAATTAAAACTATTTTTAATACTTGATGTGAACTTGTTCTGCTAATAAACACCTAGATAGTGGCTGATCTATGTCAGGGTCATTATAGAATGTTCAACTATTTTCCTAGATTTTTTGAAATCATACTTAAAATTAAAGAAAAAATTGGTAAAAAGTAATTTTAAACTTAAAAATTTAAATATGAGTTACATAATTGACACCAAAATGGTAGGTAAATTTAATATTGCCCAAATGGATAAAAAACATGCAATGTGTGTACGGCAACTCTAAATCAATCCACTACACCCAACCGAACATTCCAAAATGGTGACAAACACAGTTAATGTGTTAATGTAAACTGCTGCGCAAAAAATTATGTTGATACTAGTGATGGGCGGATCCAAGAAAATGTCGGTACCGGATCCGGATCCGGATCTTGAAAAATTCGGATCCGGATCCAGATACACACTGTCATAAGGGCGGGTTAAAAAAAACGTAATTAACAGAATGCCAATTTAAATCATACTGTTTAAAATTAAATCGGATTATGTTTAAAGGTTAATATATCTTATACACTGAGACATGGCCTCGCCATATAAGTTGTTTGCATCAAGAGACAAACACTGAGTCATGGCCTTGCCATTTAAGTTATTTGCATCTAAAACATCGAGACATGGCCTAGACATATAAGTTATTTGCATCTAAAGACAAACATCGCGACATGGCCTAGCCATATAAGTTATTTGCATTTAGAGACAAACATCGAGACATGGCCTAGCCATATAAGTTATTTGCATCTGAGACAAACATCGAGACATAGCCTTGCCATACAAGTTATTTGCATCTAGAGACAAACATCGAGACATGGCCTAGCCATATAAGTTATTTGCATCTAGAGACAAACATCGAGACATGGCCTAGCCATATAAGTTATTTGCATCTAGAGACAAACACTGAGTCATGGCCTTGCCATACAAGTTATTTGCATCTAGAGACAAACATCGAGACATGGCCTTGCCATATAAGTTATTTGCATCTAGTGACAAACACTGAGACATGGCCTTGGAATATAAGTTATTTGCATCTGAGACAAACATCGAGACATGGCCTAGCCAAATAAGTTATTTGCATCTGAGACAAACATCGAGACATGGCCTAGCCATATAAGTTATTTGCATCTAGAGACAAACACTGAGACATGGCCTTGCCGTATAAGTTATTTGCATCAGAGACAAACATTGAGACATGGCCTAGCCATATAAGTTATTTGCATCTGAGACAAACATCGAGACATATGGCCTAGCCATATAAGTTATTTGCATCTGAGACAAACATCGAGACATGGCCTTGCCATATAAGTTATTTGCATCTAGAGACAAACACTGAGACATGGCCTAGCCATATAAGTTATTTGCATCTGAGACAATCATCGAGACATGGCCTAGCCATATAAGTGATTTGCATCTAGAGACAAACATCGAGACATGGCCTAGCCATATAAGTTATTTGCATCTAGAGACAAACACTGAGACATGGCCTTGCCATGTAAGTCATTTGTATCTAGAGACAAGCATTGAGACATGGCCTAGCCATATAAGTTGTTTGCACCAAGAGACAAACACTCGGAGGAAAAACGGTCTTGTACATGGATACAGACAGCTTTGTGTTAGTAAAAAAATCGGGGATGTACAGTGATACAGACAGCTTTATGTTAGTAAAAAAATCGGGGTTGTACAGTGATACAGACAGCTTTATGTTAGTAAACAAATCGGGGTTGTACAGAGATACAATCTGCTTTGTGTTAGTAGGCCTAAACAAATCGGGGGAAAATCGGTCTCTTACATGGATACAGATAGCTTTATTATAGTAAACAAATCGGAGTTGTACAGTGATACAGACAGCTTTATTTAAGTAAACAAATCGGGGTTGTGCAGTGATACAGGCAGCTTTATTTTAGTAAACAAATCGGGTTTGTACAGTGATACAGACTGCTTTGTGTTGGTAAAAAAATCGGGGTTGTACAGTGATACAGACAGCTTTGTGTTAGGAAAAAAATCGGGAAAAAATTTGAAAAAATCGGATCCATCAAAACCGGATCCAGCCCAAGATCCGGAATTTTTTGGATCCGATCCGGTGCCGGTTCTAGCTTGGATCCGGCGGATCCGGTAGTCCGATATCCGGATCCGACCATCACTGGTTGATACCTACCTAACTTAATTCTGACTGACAAAGAAATTTTAAACAGAAAACACAACTAACCTGTTCATCAGCTTCCACATAAGGATCCACAAACACCTGAGCCTTCTCAATTATAATGTCCTCTATTGGCCTGTCCTTGTTGTCAACTTCGACTCTTTCCATGTTGGACAACGTATCCAAGCCACCAACCACTCTTCCAAACACAGTGTGTTTGTTGTCGAGATGACGGCAAGACCGATACGTCAGAAAACTGTAAAACGAATCACAATCAACATTTAACTTTACAAAAACGGTAGTGTCATGACACTCAACAATTCTGATTGACATACAACAATTTTGGAGTTCGTGGGATGAGTTTCAAAGAAATTTTTCTGGAGTTCACTTTAAAACAAAAAAAGGCTCTTATTGGAAAATCTTTTCCAAAAAATGATTATCACAAATTTTACCAAAAAGGCTGCCTCTCTCAATTTAGGCTAGCCAGGATTGTACTGTAATTTTAAAAATAATGAGCAGTGCATTTTTTCTTAAGTTAAAAAGTATTTAAAGCATTCTACAATCAAAGTCTGACTTACAACTGAGACTTGTTGGTGTTAGGACCTGAGTTGGCCATGGACAGAACCCCTCGCCCTGCGTGGGTCAAGTTAGGTTTGAAAAAGTCCTCAAAAGGCTTCCCCCAAATGGACTCACCACCTTCGCCAGTACCTGTGGGATCTCCTCCTTGGATCTGAAAAACAAAAACGAAATAAATAGTATACAAAATATTTGTGAAAATACAAATTCATGTTTGTGGCTTGCATATTTTACCTACAGTTTATATTTTACAATAATCCCCATCATAAGACAATAATATTCATTCACAAGTAAAAATAGCAAATCAGTTTATCTCCCATAACTATAGTCAAAAGAAAATAATCAAAAAAATACATTCATGCATTTGAAATTAAGCTGACTGTTAAAAAGAGAAATATTGAAGAACTGAAAATAGTAGACAATTTTTTAAGGCATTCCTTATGAGATTTAAGTTTTTAAGAATTTTAGGAAAACAAGCCATGTTAGAAGCCATCAAGTTTCCATAATCAAAAATTACGATGTTGCCGCAATCGCAGATGTGATCATGATGTATTTGTGATTGGGCGAGATACATTCATTATGTTACGGGAACACAGCTCATTCACTGTTTTAAAGTTTTCTCAACTGCTAGAGTACCATGTAGCTTTAAGTTTAAAATGCATGCGTAAACAAAACACACATAATTTAATTGGTCTCATTAAAACACCAATCTACCTTCGATTTAAAGTAGGGGGCCGATGTATTAAAATTATACAGCATCTAATGCAGTTTATAAATACCAACCATAAAATTACGAATCGAGCGATGGAACTTTGTGTTGTCGTAATAGCCTCTGTCACAAAGTTTTATGAAGTTCTCACAAGCTTTGGGAACCATGTCACAATACAACTCAAGATTCAGTGGGCCGAAGTTGGTGACCAAACGAACATAACCTAAAATAAAACTAAATTAAAATAACCTCTTACTGTAAGTGAGTTAATAAATAATCACAACAAGTTCAACTTTACACCAAAGGATCAAGCAGTTCCATTTTGAGTCAGAAGAGATGAGTTGGATGCTCGATCCATTGCACGAAGGACTTCAGAATCATGACTAACATTTTGTGATTCCTAATCTTGCACTACTACTTGATTTTGATTTGTATTTCTTCTCATGTACTTTACATTGTTCACTATTTTCTTTGACTTGCATGTTGCTGTAAAAAACTAAAAGTCTTGCAACTGTTACATGAAATCACTAATCAATAATCATCAAGCAACACAAATGTGTGATAGAGATCACTGCAGACCACTGTAAAAGGGGGTTCAGGGCACTCTAACAGACCGTTACAAAGATATTAGCCTAACACTGACAAAAAATATATATTGTACGTCAATACAGGACTTGACCTCTCTGTGGGAGGACACTGACTGCAGCACAAATATTCGCTCATCCATATGATTGGAAAATTCTGTATTAATGCAATAGTGAACGTGTAAGCACAAAATTAAATTTACAACACAACAATGATTCATTCAAATTTAGGTACCTTTCTTCTTAACCCTCTCATAGCGGACAAGGTCTTCTTCAATGATAGCTGCCTCATGTTCAGTTTGTGGAACCATCGCAGTAGATGTGAAACTGGCGGCCACAGCTCCTGTAGAATAATGAGCCTGAAAATCCATGAAACATTATATAAATTTGAAAAAATTGCCATACATGAAGTTTAGCTTAAACATTAAAATTACTTATCAAGATAATGTAAGACATAGTTTTTTTTTGAGGAGTGAAATTAAGAAAACATGTTCATCCGTCAAAATACTGATTTACAAAACTTGCAAAATACATTGATTTAGAATGCTGAAGAATATAACCTAAACATTGCCATGCTGAAGGACATTTTATGATATTTTTAGCACAAAAGTTTAAATTTCAGAACAAGTTTGGTCTAAGACTCATATAACTGTAGAGTATTCTCGATTAAGTTTGAAGACTTTTTACTTCATTCCTCATGATAAACATTTTGGCTAGTTTAATTGGGTCGGCAAATCTGATTAAGGTAGAATATCTTTGAAAAGCTACTGTAGGTTTTACTATTTGGCCAGTGGCTGACTCCTTGACAACTAACGGCTGTATAATGTAAACCTATGAGTAAATCCTTTACTATTAAATGGCACCATGTATATGTGGTGAAATGGATGTAGCGACCCGCTACATGTAGTCTCTGATAATTCTATATTTGGTACGAGGAGGCTATTACCTGTCAAGGAGGCAGTTACTCTAAAGTCAGATTCAAAACTTGACATGCTATTATTATTTAAAGTCATATTGTTAAATTAGATTAACATATTTAACAAATATAAGAATTGTGGCTCTAAACCCAAGAAATTGATTTAATTTTACATGTTATTGAAAAAATGAACAGAATAGTAATAAATTCTAAATTCTTAGTTAATCATAGGATCTTATGAAATCATATCCTAAAATAGCTTTGTTGATTTATAAAAACTCACAGCATTAAACTTGTCGGCGATTTTTTTCTCCTCATTTTTGACTTCAGGAGCTTTGTACTCACGGTTGAGAGTGTCTAAAATGTCCCTTGTTTCTTTTGAAACTGTTTTCAAACGAGCCTCAGGGTTCCCTTTGGCCTCAAGCTCTTCTGCAAAATTAAAAAACCAACTAGTAAGCAAACAGCAATTTTTTAATACAACATGAGATACCTACAACAAAAGATGTATAGCAAAATGTTTAAAATATAGGTTGACATTTTACCCTTACTTTAAACTTAAAGGCTATGTTAGGATACAATCATGCTTTATTATTGGTCTATGTTTGACAAAAAATGCCTGGATTGTTAAAACTGTTTGGTTATACTGAAGAGTAATTTTTCAGAAAATGCTATCTTATGGGATTGAACAGGTTAACACGTTGACTGCGCGTGCCGACTTTAGTCGACGTAGCCAGTGCTCCCAGGTGGCGCGCGCCGACAAAAGTCGGCACCAGACCAACAGAAATATATTGAGTCAGTGTGAGCTTAGCCTCAGACGGAGACGTTATAATCGTTGCCAGCCTGCCAGCTTAGAATGCGAGCTTTACTTTGGTGTAGGTTGGTACTAAAATGTCCCGTAAAATCCTGTCTGGCAATGCTTTTGTCCCGGTTTCGGGGATTTTTTCTCTTCACCCCACATTACAAAGACACTGGATACGGATCTGTGCAGTGCTGCTACCTTTGGGTGTTTCAGTGAACTACATCCACTCTTGGGGTAACGCAGCACAGTCACCACTGCTCTTTTGTGATTCGTCAGACTGAAATATTTGAATGCCAATTGCGTTCACTGATTCGGTTGCGCGCCGGGGCTTCGCCCGCCACTGGGGAGCGCCTGTAAAGCCAGGTTTACTCGATGCCAGTTGGCGAGACAATTGTCTTTGCCAATTGGCATCACGTGGTTTTGGAATTGTCGTAGGCCAGGCAAGTTGAACGTGAACCTGTTCACACGTGGCCAACACTTGCCCAGACATTTTACAGTGAACCAGGGTACTACTGCCAAAAGACAAGACAGTTGGCCTCTACACCGTTTACACGGCGCCAATTGTCACGACAACTGGGTTTTCGAGGGGTGGGGGCCTCACTGGGCCCAGCTCATTGTCCTCAGTCTACTCCCGGAGACAACTGAATTTCGGGACAGTTGGCGGGACAATTGGCTTGCCAATTGGCCTGAAGTGTTTACACGAAGCCAGTAATTCCAAGCCAGTCAGTTGTCTCCTGACAGTTGTCTCGCCAACTGGCAACGTGTAAACCTGGCTTTAAGTCGGCGCGCGCAGTCAACGTGTTAAGCAAGCTGACCTGACCCGGATCACCGACAATACTACAGGTATTTAACCTTTTATTTCTAAAATATGTGATCCAGAGGCTTAACATGTTAAAGTAGTCTTACCTTCAGTTTCAACTCTTAAGTCGTTCTTGACATGATGGAAGTTGGAGATATTAAACTTTGCCAAGTTGGACGGATCTTGTAGTGTAATTAAATCAGCCTTCTCAAAAGGTTCATCCGTCAGGAGGTCTTTCCAAGATTTTATTTTAATATTCAACTGTTGCACAGCCTGTTATAAGACAAAAGAATACAGTACAGATTACAGTAGTTACAGAATACCTACAGAAGTTGAGCAAAATAAGGAGTAGAAATTTTTTTATCCTGAATCAACTTATCAAATTAACAAGTTGCAAAATGATGTAAAATTGACTGCAGCAACTAAGATTGCTGGAAACTGCAACACAACAAAAATAGCACCATGATACTTCACTACACATAGATAGAAGAATTAGTGATGGATACAATTGACGGCTACTATTCTATAGCAGCAACACTGGCTGATTTATTTTACAATGTAGTCAGATAACTTTAGTATTTGGGGTAACAAATCTCAAAGAACCCACTCATCTCATAAACTTCTACCTAAGCCGTCCACAGTTTATTTCAGGTGCCCTACCCTATGCTATGAATTCCTCATGAGTTGCACATCCGATCTCACCAACATATGATTTCAGTTGAACCCTGAATCTAAGGTTCTAAGGTTCTGTCTCCTGTCCAGAAAGAAAACCGCTGATCTTTCCTACAAGAAAGACTACCTACTACACTACTACACCAACCAAAAGCCCAAGCGTAGTAGTTCTAAACGTAGCTCCTAGGTTGCCGATTCTTTTGATTTATAATTGCATAGATTTTTATACCCTGAATTCCATTCATATTACTCATGTTTCTAACATTTCGACGTTTGGGGGACAAAGAGTTAACCAATATTTTTCAGTGTGCATAGTATCAACAATATTCTTACATACCTCGTGTGAGAAGACATTTCCTGTTTTGGCAACCACAACCATGTGGGAGTGTTTGGTGAGAGGTTTGTACAAGACAGGACAGTGAAGCTCTCCCTTGGCGTTCTTGTGAAACGTCAGTTTGATCAGAGACTTGGAGTCCAAAGGCTGAAATATTAGATGATTATATATATATAGTCTACACTACAACATAAGAAACAATTTTGAACAGTAATTAAGTTATGTTGGAGATATCTGGCTCATCAATCCACTGTGTAATTAAATATAGGCTAGCTTTACTTTAGATGCAGACCGGTTTCAAGGTATAAAGGTCCCTAGGATCTATTAGGCTCTACTATATAATTAAATTATAGCTTAATGTGGTTTTAATATTTATACTTCCGGTAAAGGCTACATTATTTTGCACTGCGGTTTCCTCGGAACTTAATTGAAATAAGTTATCAGCTCCCAAATAAACAGATTGATGGACTGTTCTTACCTACAACTTTTTTGTTTGTCACCTAACTCCAGATGAAACTGGTTTAAACATTATACGCTTTTGTTTTTTAGCTGAAGATTGTTTGCACCGATCATACTTTGCAAGTATAATGTAGAATGCATTACCTTTCCAGTTACAGGGTTGACCTTAAACTTTTTCAGAAATCCAAGTATCGCTTCAAGTTCAAAAATATTTCCATCTCGGTCACAATAAGGATTTTCCCAAGGCTGGAGGCTTACACAGCAATGATCAAACGGCAAACGACGGAAATTAGACTTTTCTGGTCCTTCTTTTTTCCCACCATACAAAGTCGTCCATTCTGTATAAGTCAGATACCTGAAAAAGCAATACAACTTTGATGAGTTAGGTTAAGGGAAGATAAAAAAATTATATCTAAATTCGGTAGCTTAAAAGCTTGAACATACTTTGTCTGAAAATCCCTATCATAGCCTACAGTTTAAGTGTAGCCTAGAAGTGAAACTTGCAACGTTCATACGGCATGTTTTGGTGGTTATTTAAGACTCCACCAGCATCAAACTACAAAAGAATCCAAATTCTTAAGGTGATGTCACAATTTAAACACAAACCCAGTCAACACAAGAGGCCTAACACAAAAACAATCACTGATCTGGCCTATAAACTACCAGTGACCAAGAAATAAAATAGACTCGCAATAACTAAACTAGGCCTATATAATGCTATGGCCTATATAATACATCACGTAGGTCTTGAAACCAACTGTCAATAAGTCCTTTCCTGGCTTCTCGGCCCACTAACTAAGTTTAACTGGCGCAAAATTTAATCAGTCGTGTTACGATAAAATCAACAAAAAAATATATTCAAGTTAGGCCCAGCGCAAAGATAAAATTCTGAAATATTTTCATTTTCTTACAAAAAATGTATATTAGGCTACATGAGGACGGCATGAATTATATTTTGAAAAAAAAAACCTAAGCTCCTCTGTAAATAATATGAACAAACATCAACAAAATAGTGTGTGAAATAACAAAAATATAAGTTGGTGAGATAGAGTGCTTTGTAGGCCTACCTATTTCTCGATCAGATGACGTTTGTGTGTGAGGAATTTTTAGGAAATAAGCTTACCGAATATGCTAATTGCCAGTTTTCGCTGTTTTTTTATCAGGAGATGGTGTTTTATTCCTGAGGAGTTTTTGCTCTGTAGTTTAGAGAACTGGTGTAGCTTCAGTCTATAATATTTTTTTTTATACTTCCATTAAAAACTTAGGCTCTGGCAGTAGGAAGAGTCACACTGCTCCCTTTCTTACCATAGGCCAGGGTTGCCACCCGTCCTGATTCTGTCGGGACAGTCCCGATTTTGGTTCCTTAACTTATGCCTGTATTTAAGCCTATATTAATCCAGGGGTGAGGGGGGCATGTCCCGATTTTTCCCTAACCGAAGGTCGCAACCCTACCATAGGCCCTACCACAACTGGGACAGAACCTATCCCTCGACCCTCACACACTGTAGTATAAGATCACTGTGTTGGCAACTGATCAAAAAATATTTGTTGTTTGTTGTTGTTAGCCAACTGTTAGTTGGCCTGTGTTGGGAGTACTTGGTTCTTCAAGTAAGGCCTATGCTGAGCAGGAAATAAAACTAAGAAAAGCACTGCCAATTTAATGAGAAATTTAAGGAAGTTATAAGTTAGTATGGCTTAGATTTTGTGTGGATGCATATTTTAACTTTAATTTACTTCTATTATTTACTAAGGGAAATCCCGATAAGTTACTTTCTACCTGTTTGATTCTCTGGAACTTTGAATTTCTTACCGTAAATTAGAACCGAATGTCCTAGAGCACCACTAATATAAACATAGGCTAGAGTGAACTCAATTTTTCGATTGTTGTTAATCAATTGAAAAATTTTCCAAGATAAATTCCACAGCTTAACAGATAGGTAACTTACAATTTATCCTTTTGATGTTGTCTTTTCCCCATGGTGTTAAGTCAAGAAGAAAATGGAACGCCTATATTGGAACTAAATTATCAAACAATATTTAATTATTACAATCCTATCATTTGCCCAAAGATGTGTAAACAGTAGCTTTTAGTGTCTTTAAGAAATTGTGTTGGATTTAAGACGATAAGGTTAAAGTTTGATGTTTATTGTTCATAAAACAATAATAACAAACAATACCAGCAGACGAGTTAGTAGACGAGTTACAAACAGACAGCAGAGTCACAAAACAAAGTACAGAATTGCAGATAGACTCAGTGACAGATACCATTGATTATACATTAGGTGAGGTCTGTAGTCAAATCAAATCAAATCAAATCAAAGCTTTATTTTCCAATAGACATTACAAATGCATGTGGAATGGTCAATGAAGGTATTATGTTGGGAAACATTTGTCAAGGAAGAGTACAATAGATGTAGAGTACAAGGTCAAATCAAAATATACAAAGATAATATAAAATACATGCAGATGAGGATAACTATAAGAGAAAAAAAAAGTACAATCATTACTCAATATTTAATGGTTTAGGAAATTCTAAAAAATCGTTAAGTTTGTAGAACGGATTCTTAACTAGCCACATATGAATTTTAGCTTTAAAAACTTTGTAAGGAAGTGATAGCAATTTGTTGGGCAATTTATTTAGACATTTTAGGCCCAGAATTTTATGACTTTTCTTTGTTTTGCTCAGTCTAACATGGGGTATATCAAATTGATGTCTGTTTCTAGTTTGAAAATCATGAAAATCACTCCTTATGGCATGTGAGTCCATTTCCTTAAAACTAGTTAACATGATATTAAATATATATAAATTAATAACAGTTAAAATATTAAATTCAATAAAAATGGGGCGACAATGTTCCTCAGGATCAACCCTAGCCATTATGCGCAGGACCTTTTTTTGTAATATTAAGACATCGGAGACATGAGAACTATTACCCCAAAAAATGATACCATAGTTCAAGGCAGACTGAAATAAAGCAAAGTAAACTGATCTTAAATAACTAATAGGAACTAAATCATTAAGCTTACGAAAAAGGCAAATCATTCTACTTAACCTAGTACAGAGTTGCGTTATATGATCAGACCAAGTCAGTTGTTTGTCAATATGGACACCTAGAAACTTTACCACATTGGACAGTTCAGCTTCAAGTGGGCCTATATCATGTAGAGGTCTAAGGCAAAATATGACTGATTGTGTTTTGTCTTTATTCAAAAGAAAACTATTAGCTGAAAACCACTCAGCAGCAGTATTGACTGTGTTTCTGACATTTGACTTAAGATGCAAAAGGTCACTGTGACAAGATAGCAAGGTAGTATCATCCGCATAGAGATAGGAATTGCAACTAAGATTCATAGGCAGATCATTTATAGCAATTAAAAACAGAAGGGGGCCCAAGACGGAGCCTTGAGGTACCCCACAGTTGCTGAGGGCGATGGAGGACCATTCACCATCAGCATATACCGCCTGTCTACGATTTGCTAAATAAGACCACAAAAGATTTAGAGCACTGTTTCTGATTCCATAAAACTCCAACTTATGCAGCAAGATCTCATGGTCAACACAATCAAAGGCCTTGCTAAGATCAATGAAGGTGGCCCAGGCAAAATCTTTATTTTCAAAAGCCCTGTGAATGTCCTGAACCATGGCATCAATTGCATCCACAGTGGACTGTCCAACTCTAAAGCCAAATTGTTGTTTGTTAAAGAGAGAATTATTTTCAAAAAAGCTGTTAATCTGATTGTGAATAATATGTTCTAGAACCTTGGACAGAACAGGTACTAGACTAATAGGCCGATAGTTTCCTGGGCAGTTTTTATCCCCTTTTTTGAAAATAGGACAAATTTTGGAAATTTTGAGACAATCAGGAAAGAATCCCCCCTGTAGACAGGCGTTTACACAGTAAGTCAATGGTGAAATTATTACATCAACAATTTCTTTAATGAACCAGTTGGAGATATCATAGATATCTTTGGATTTGGTATTTTTCATTTTAGTTATGACTGACATAACCTCACTACAAGTGACCAAAGAAAAGTGAAACTCTGAATTGTTGAAAGGAACTTTTTGTAAGAAATGATCATAAGTATTTGCAGGTTTCTTAATACTGTTTCTAATACTGTTAACAGAGTTAATAAAAAAACTATTTAGTTAATTTGGATGAAATGGAAGCTTATTACCGCTTCCGAGAGATTGGGAATTTTCTTTTACAATTGCCCAGGCTGATTTACATTTGTTGCTGGAGTTTTCAATGAATAGGGCATTATAATTGAGCTTGGCCTCCTTTACTGCCCGTTTGTAGTTCTTAACTAGGGTCTTATACTCTAACTTACAAAGATTGTCACTACTTACACAGGTCAGATCATAGGCATGTCTTACCTGCTGCCTGAGCCTGTCAAGATCAGGAGTGTACCAGGCACGTGACCGTTTCCCTTTTGGGTTTGGTTTACAGTCTATAGTCAATGAACAAAACAGATTGTTTTAATGCTGATGACCGTGGTGATTCAATAAATTTATAATATGTTTAATCTATAGTATTGGGTTTTTTGGGAGTTTATTCAATAATATTAAAATGTTGTATGCTATGCGAACCAGACAAATACCCCCGTCCCAGCAAACCTGCATACTAAGCGAATTTCCATCTACCCGGCTTGATTTCTACTAAAATATTCCCTATAAATTTTCAGATTTATTTCCTATTTAAATAACATTAATTTTAGTGAGTAGTTAGGTTTGCTGCTACGGGAAAGATGTTGAGGTGTGTTTTTTTTTCAATTGAAATATTGATAGCTTAGTATGAAATAAACCAAATTGCCAAATTTGATTAAAATATATCCATAAACAAGCAAACTAGAACAGTTTATTTATTCTCCATAAAAATAACATGGGAATTTTAAATTTACAATTTTTTTAATTTTCTCCGTAGTCAATGAACATTCAAAAACACTTCAATATACTAAATTATTTGTTTTTTTAAGCTCTTCAAAATGGTCTAGAGAGAAATTTAGAAATTTAATGTTTTTAGGGTCAAAAATGAGAAAAACCCATTTTTACCCCATAAAACCCCCCATAAACCCCTGATCCCATGGTCCGATTACGCTGGTTCGCGAACTCGTTCGAATAAATGTAGGTTTACACGTTTGTACCAAATTTCATCAAAATCGGATCAATTTTGCTCGAGTTATCGCGCTAACGGACACATATATAAATAAATATATATATATATATATATGAATTTGAACGGATGGTGTTTTTGGCCTCTGGGGACCTCAAAATGAAAAAGTAAATCGGTCCCGGGTCTAGGTCTTACCATGAGACCTACGGTAATAGCTTATTCCCTATATGGGAAATTCGCTAAAACTATACTGTATATCTTTTTAGCGAATTTCCCATAGAGGTTTTTTTTATTGGTAGGTGGAATGCGTTACGCACTTCCCGATACGTTGACCGCACCCCCTGGAGCGCCCGACGTGCCGGGGGAGTGTGGGACTCCTACGGGTGCCACCGTAGGGGGGACGCGGAAAGGTCGCCCCCGGAAACATCACCCCCCTACGTCATATTGACGTCAGAGACCGGGGGGTGATGTTTCCGGCCGCGGACACTCAATTTCAATTGCAGCATGCACTCGTCGATATGACGAGTTATTTTTGAGTTTGCGTATTAATTAGATAATTATATTCACTTATCATATACAATTACCAGATTTTCTAATTAGAATTGATGTTAACCGGATACGTTAACCCCGATCGTTTTCAAAATGCACACCCCGGAAAGGTCCCCCCCTGCCATGATCTCCCCCGGTATACCTGCTGTAGGGCTTGGGCTCGTGACTCGAGCCAGCTATTGTTCACAAGGGTAGAGACTGTCCCATATTAACCACCGCTCGACTGAACTCGCAAGAATGGGAAGGATTTGGTATTATTACGCAAATGTTGTGGATATTAAGATAAATACAAATTAACACTTTGATATTGTGCTTTCTCTAGACATTTCCCCTTAATTTTATACATCAAATGATGTATAAATTACATATAGTTTTTTTCCGTCAACGTATAAAATGTATTTGAAAAACGTGGAAATGAAATAAAATGTTTATAATAATAGTGACAATTAAGTAAGGAATCAACTCGTATTAATATGAGCATGCTCCATCCACTCAACATCATAATACAGTCAGTACACACTTGAAAAACATATTTTCACATTTCCTAATTCTTAAATTGTAAACATTGAGCAATAAATGCTGTATATAATTTTTATACATTTTAATAATTGTCTGGATTTTATGGTAAAATAAATGCATTGAGAATATTCCTGATTTGATATTGGTGAAGGACTCTTTCCCGTAAAAAGAATTTAGAAAGTATATATTGGTTAGTTTCTTCGGCAATAAACAGGAAAAAGCTCACACTGTTTACGTTTGCGTTGACAGAGAAGCAAGCAACAGTGTCACATTCACTTTATTTCATGATTTCACACTGCTGATATTAAATAGCTAAATTGAAATTGAAGTATTATAGTACAGTTATTCCATGAACGGTCGCCCATTGTTTTGAAAGTTACACATTTAAATCTACCTGTAGTTCGCAGAATATTAATACGTATAACTTAAAAGTTTGCAAGAGAACATAAATCCTAAGTATAGTATCCACTGTTCTCAGAGTATTGATTTATGGAATTCGTCTGTAATTTGCAGACTATTAATTCGTAGAGTACAACTGTATTTATAGCGGGAAGTATTTTTTGTAAAATAGCTTAGACTTCCCCACTTCAGGTATCCCTCCCAAGAATACCTGAGCCAAATACGTTTGTTTAACATAGTCAAGGAAAAGTTTAGTTAGTTATTTACTAAAGTCAGTTTCATCTTTTTACCATAATTCGTTCATTAACATAATTTATAATTATCAGTGTTATCCAGCATATGTACTTAATTAATTTGGAAGGGGTTAATTTGTGAACTCATTGAGTTTTAAACAGATTTTGAAAATGTTAATGTAATTTGTAAAAAGTATACTCTGAAGTTGCACTAACAATAAAATCAGCTCAAAATACGGTAGGGGATTTTCCCCATTGTTTTCTAGAGACCTGCTACACCGGTTTACATTTT